TTCCTAGGTTTTATGTATGCATGGCTTATGTGATACAGGTAGCTTTTATAGCTAACAGGATATGTGTTATGTGGATTGTGTGTATGGTATGCTCTGGGAAACTCACTAAGCTTCGTGCTTACAGGTTTTGTTTATTGTTTCAGGTATCATCGTTTTGGAAAGGAAGGGCTCGGATTGATCGCAGTGCACACACCTATGATTTCCGCAATGAATGATTTTGGGATGAACTCTGATAAATGTTTTACTTAATGATGATTTGAAATGTTTGGAATAAATGGTATCAATGTTTTAGCTATAATAAATAAATGAAATTTTTACCCCTGATTTTTGGGTTGTTACAATATGAGCTCTGATTTACTTGCATTTGGAGCAACGGATGGAACTTTGACAGTTTGTATTGTTTCTGAACCACCTTCAGTTATGAAGAAGTTAACTGGTCACTCAAAAGATGTCACATGTATTTGCTCTGTAGTCTTTTGAAAATCACAAAACCATCTTGGTTTCATCTTACTTGCAAAGGTTTCTCCAAGTCATGAGCTTCTCCCAATTGTATGTTTTCAGGTTAATTATATTGATGGTTCAGATGACAAGAAATGGAGCAAGAAAGATTTTTCATGGACCAAAAAGTTGGAGGTTTGTGGCATTGTCATTTATTTATTTTTCACTTTTGCATATTTTTGAATTTAGTGGTGATAATTAATGGTTTGATGATTCTATTCTCAGGCTAATAACAAGAAAGTGTTTGGGAATCATTAATTTCGTCCCAACCAAAGAGAAGTGATTAATGCAACAATGAGTGGAAATGATGTTTTTGTCTTAATGCTAACTGGAGGTGGAAAGAGCCTCACATATCAGGTATTACATACCATCTTTTAATGATTTTGGATGCTTATAGCTTTATTTAATTAATTTCCCACAAATGTTAAGAGCGTGGTTAAAAGAAATGTGTTTTTCTATGTCCTTTGTATTGAGTTTAAATGTCTCTTGCCCCCTTTTCTTGCAGCTACCTGCTCTTATTTGTCGAGGTGTTAAATAATGCATTTATTGCATGTATGTACATGTTGCTATTTCTTAACCTATGAGCATTTTCACATTTATCTATTATAGTGAACATCGAATCTTGTGTTTGGATACAATAACAAGCAAATATACATGCTGCTTATTTAAGTTCAAATATGGAATGGACCAAACAACAGGACATTCTCAGAGATCTTTGCTCAGGGCATTGCAGTTACAAACTGTTATATGTCACCCCAGAAAAAGTAGCAAAGTGAGTGCTTATTTTTATTCGTTTACTTCTTTTAGCTACTACTTTTATCATGTTGCTAACTTTTTAGTGACCTGATATGTGAGTGCAGAAGTGATGCTTTATTGAGACAGTTAGAAAACTTGTATGCACGAGAATTGCTAGATAGAATTGTGATTGATGAGGCACATTGTGTAAGCCAATGGGGACATGATTTCAGACCAGATTACCAGGTTATTAATTATATCATACAAAAAATAAAAGCTGAATGTAAATTCTATACAATATCTATAGAGACGACATTTCGTTGCTATAGGTGTAGCTATGGGGACGACATGTCGTCTCTATAGGTCTAGCTATGGGGGCGACGTGTCGTCTCTATAGGTCCATCAATGGGATGATAGCCACAAACCAACAACAACGATATGTCGTCTCTAAAAGGTACCTATGGCGACGATATCTATAGCGACGACTCAAGCTATCTATTGCGACGGGGCTATAGCGACAAATGCTATAGGGACGACTTGTCGTCACAACCACCTATAGAGACGACTTTCTATAACCTATAGAGACGGCATTTTTCGTCCCTATAGATCTTGTTTCTTGTAGTGTTCACATAAAATCACAAAAACACTCTACCTATGGATGCAAGGATAGCAAAAACAAAATGATGTATTAGTTGAGTTGTGAACACTGAACACCATGTATTGCAACCTAAGTGTCTGAGGTTCAAGTCCATCTGCAAAAGCTTTGGCGGGGTCCTAGGGGCAGCGCCCCTTTGGCGCTGCCCCTAGCGATGCTAAAATTAAATACATATATCAAAACCTTACAGTTAATTTCTAACCACAAATCAAAACCAAATCTTATACAAAAAGATCAACGCTCTATCAATACATATTCGAAACATGACCAGAAGGGTAGGCGATGGAAGGCTAAGAAAATATGGAACATCAATAGGAAAGCATGGTGGTGGGTAAGTTTTAGGGTGGCAGTTTGGTGGATCTACATAGAAGAATTCGTCGGAGGCCGTAGGGACAATGGGTGGCAAAGATTCGTGCTCTAAATCAGAGGAAACAAGTTTAGCTCGAGACATTTGATTCCCCTGAAGAAGATGTGGATATATGTAAAGCACCACATCATCAGAAACATGCATGTAGGTTTAAATCGTCATCGTCAGAAATCTGCGTCTAGGTCTAAAGTCGCATCCGGAGTTTTGCATCCGGTCCAGTTTCTTATCCGTCAGAGTTATACCTTATCAGTCGATGTTGGGTTTTTCTTAATCGGTGGTGGGTGTAAGAATGGTAACGATGATGAGGCTGATTGAGAATAACAACTACTATGTAGTATACTTTAGATGTAGCAATTTAATACCTTTGTGTGAATTAAAGACATGATAAGGAAATTTATTTCTGGTTTCTAAGTTTTGATACATCAATTTTCTTAATTTTGTGTATGTATGTTAAAGAAAAAGAAGTTAGAGAACCCGGATGAAGATTTAGTTCATGGAGAGAGGTGGGTCCCCCTTTTCATTTGTTTTAACATTGATATTTAAATAAAAGAAAAAAATGTTGAAGAAAATAGAAAAAATAAAATTAAAAGGACATATTAGGCTTTTCAAGTTTAACATGGACAAATTTCACGATGAAGCTAGTTGAAAATAACGACTCCAAAAAAAAAGTCATTGTTTGGATTAAAACTCCGAAAAAATGCATATCACATTGACCATTTTTGCAGTTTTTTTTTCTTCTAAAAACTATGTTTGGCGAACTAAGACTAATTTACCTAAAGACTAATTTAGCTTATGATATAATTACATTTGGTAAATTAGCTAAAAAATTAACTGAAATATATAAAATGGACATAAAAACATGTAGAATATTGAGTTTTTTAATAATTAAAAAGTATATATTTAGAAAAAATTAAAAGAAAAATGTTTAATAAGCTCATTGATATAAGGTAAGGCAAATATCACTCTATCGATACAACGCATTGAGCAACTAAGATAAAGAGGGAGATGCCTTTTACTTGACTGCAAATGACGGGTGGACAACTCCGAATCACATACTATTGACAACTAAACTACTTCGGATGAGGGGTGGAATACGACGTGTTAGTCTTATTAGATTTAAAAAAAATCTAGTTTATAAACTACTCATTAGTTGTCAAACATCATGACTAAATTATGAATGTGGTACATGGTCTTGTACCTCGAGCTAACCATTGTGTACTTATGTTGGTGCATGATTTCTTCATTCACGAGTCTAAGGCGAGAGGAAACGGCCAAATGGGAAGCCTACATGGTGACATGGGCGGAAGGCCCGTCTAAACACGAATAAAAAGCTCGTGCCCCAAAAAGGAATGAGACCGAACTGAAAAAAGACCAACTTGAGAATGTCCGAAACCGGTCCGAAAAAGACCAAATCGTTCCAAGACCGATCCCAAAAAATATCGGACCGACTCGGTCTCAAAAAAGACTGGACGCCAAAGTGTATATACATATCATTTTTGTGTTAATTATATATTTGTTAATCACGCATTACCTAATTGCTTCCTCCTTTTATTTTTAAATTTTAGTGTATTATTTTTAATAAATCTTAATGTTTCATTTTGGTTTTAATCAAAAATTTGTTAACGGAAATGCTGAAATAGAAACCAAAAAAATACTAAATTTGAACCAAAAAATCCTGAAAATGAATCGAACAAGATGTATGCAAAGACCCGCAAGATCGGACTGAAAATAAAAGTTGGTCTAAGACCGGTCCCAAAAATATCGGACTGTTTCAAGACTGATCCAAGACCAATACAAGACCGCCAATATTCAATTTGACGTGGACATCCGACCAAATTGGCAAATTCATCCACTTGAGTTTTATATATTTCATTTCTTTTTGTATAATTATCAACTTAGAGTTTCATACAACATAAAAATCTAATGTAAAACAATCATATAATTTTTTTACAATTTGTGTTAAGAAAATGAAATTTTAAAAATTTCATCTTCTTCGTCGACTATTCAATTCAATTGTAATTTTTGTTTATATTATGGTTTTGAATGTATATGTTTAAATATTAAGCAAATTTGTCCAAATAGTATTTTAAATTTGGATTATATTTGTACCTTATATTTAAATTTTTGGCTCTGTGTTGTCTGTATAAAAATATAGACTTGGTTTTTCGGGAATGCAATTGGTAATAGATCATAATACAATTTAAGTTTATTTAAACTTCAATCGATCGGTAAAAGGTTATTCCATCATATCGCTCGAACTCATATTTTAGTATTTTACAATTAAAACGAGGCCTTACTAGCTACTTCATTCAGGGGAAACTAGCCCAATTAAAGTGCTTGTGTACCCGATCTTTTGGGTCCGACGACACTGGGCAAAGCATCATAGTTTGTTCAGTTTGTTCAAAATTACATATTGAAAACGTAAATGTCATTCGTATATATTACATAACTTCTTGATTGATTAGTTCAAAATTACATATTGAAGACGTAAATGTTGCGAATTATTTAGCTTGTTTCATGCATGTTTTAAGAAATGGACGGTGATATGTATTCTAAGCTTCAAAGATTAATTTAATGCAATTATTTTCGTCATAAGCAAGTTCCATGTGTGATATTTTGTATTTAAAGAAATTTGCACCGACTTATATTAATGGACAATTTATTCTAAAGTACATGTGACAACCCCCTTTATAATCCCTCTCACGTCTTCCATTTTTTACATCAAACACAAAACGGAATTCAAAAATGGCACAACTTTTTCTCTCTTTCTTGGTTATCACATTCACAATCTGCAGTTTTGCAATCACTGTCGAATCTCGTTCTCATGCAAGAACGTATGTTGAATCACAGTGTAAATCAACGAGATATCCTGATCTATGTGTTCAAACCCTTTTACCCTACGTAAGCAAAAGAGGATTACCAAGCTCACAACTACAAGCTCAACTTTCGTTAGCAACATGTCTATCCACAGCTCGCTTCACAAAGGTTTATATGAACATGGTAGCAGATAAATTGAATGAAACGAGTAATTCAGGAGACTACCAAGCAATGGAAGAATGCATGCATCAAATGAATGATGGAGTGAAGCAAATTACCCAGTCGTTTAAGGAATTACAACAAATGGGAAAAGATGGGTATCAAAAGTTTTTGTGGCATGAGAGTAATGTGCAAACTTGGGTCAGTGCTGCCTTGACGGATGCGACGACATGTGTTGATGGAATCTTGGGGGATGGAATCAGTGATAGAGAAAAGGCTATGATTCAAGCGAGGATCTTGAAGGTGAAGCAACTCGCTAGCAATTCTCTTGCATTGTTTACTCGCTTCACGTCCAGATATCGTGCTTCACATGGCATCAAAATTCCCTAAATTGAGTCACAAAGCGTATTACATTCATTTTTTTTTTACCATCGTAATGATTGATACAAAGGATTCTGTTATAAACTAGTGGCTTGTTGATGTATATCGATGGCAGTTTAATTGTAATTATGGGTGTGCATTTTTTTTTTTTTTTTGTATTGTTTTCATGATATATAAATTGTTTTAGACAAAATTACATGCATGGTCTCTGCGGATAGCAAAAAGTATCACATATAGTCCTTATGAGATTTTTTTTGACACAGATGATTAGGTGGTTTCATTTGTATGTTAGTAGCTTCATTATAAATCTAAGTTGAACTTCATAGACAAAATTATGTAAATGCTCCTTGTGTTTTATAAAATTCATAGGTTCCGTCTTTAACGTTTTTTTGATGAAGATGGTGGATGTGGATTTAATTGGCCCATATAAAATGACTTTAATGCCCTTTTAGTTTGCTTTCCACTTTATTGTCATATATTTAAGCTGATTTTAATTAAAAAAAAAAAAAACCTACCCCATCTTCCCCTCATATGTCTCTCTCACCTTATCTTTCTCTTAGTTACAAAATTGTCAAGAGCTCGACTTCCTCCCTCATCTCCGACAACACCCACCCCAACATGCCGTTTGTCATTGTCTACTTGAACACATCAATACCGTCAAAAATTGATATATGCGATCCCTCCCATACAAACATCGAAATATCAGGGAGCCAAAATAGGAGGGGGGGACCCAAAAATGGGATTCTCCTTAATAAATGAATGTTTTTTTGCTACATGTCAATCTCATGAGTTTTAACACTTGTCATTTTGTGGTATTTTTAAAATAAATATTATCCATTTGTCAATTTTTGGTTTGTTTGAATTTTTAAAATTAAAATCATATACTTATATATGTAAATGTAAAGTATTAAGTATCATATATATATATATATATATATATATATATATATATATATATGATATTAAATTGCAATAAATATGTTTCTTCCTTTTTTATTTTAAAATTATACATTAAAAAATATTTTCTGTTTACACTTTAATGTTTAATTTTTCTTTTTTTAAATCAACCCGTATAATACACGGGTCTCACACCTAGTAACATAATATAAAAAGAGTAAATAGAAAATAAGAAGAATGAGAAGAAGCGTAAAAATGTTTTTATCTATATTAATAGGCTAAAAAAACGGGGTTAGCCAAAAGGATTAGCTATGCCTAAGTTTTTAAAACCAAAGCGACCATTGTGTCAATAAATTATCATAAGGACCATTTGTGGTATTCTTTTACCAACATCAGGGACCATTTATATAAATTTGTCATTATTTTATTTATTTTTCAACTTTAATATCATTGTAAATACCCTTTGATTGTATTGAAATAGATGCCAGCAGAAGGGTATACAAAGTTTATAAAAAGAAAAAACAAGCCATGATGATTGTTACAAGCCAAAAACAAACACAACTACAACAAGAGAGAGAGAAGAGTGAAATATGTTTATTGATTGTTTTCTGCTATATAAATTTAAACACGTGTACATCCTTTTTGCCAATACTATCATTAAATAATTTGAGTTGAATAAGTTAACTTCCATCCGCAATAATCACTCCATTACTCCAGGAGTCCAGCTATATTACCAATGTTGGTGAAAAATCAAGTCTAGCAAAGGTTATTACTTATTAGGTTAGAATTACCATAATGATAGGATTTTGCTTTTAAGTAATCTCTATATGTTTCTTTTTCTTGAGACAAGTTTCCATGATATTCGTTACTCTTGCTTTCATTTATTCTAATATTCCTGTTCATATCATATTCGTAGTATATCTCTTTTTATGACGAGCTTACACAGTTGAATCTGATTTGTGAAATTAAGATGTTACAACAATAACTGAAATCAACCTAGCAAATAAGGTTACCTTATCAATTTTCTGTTAGATGTGCATCAATGCATGGTCTAATTAAACATTATTAAAAAAGCAAGAAATTGTACACTTCGGACATTGATATTTTATATTTTTACAAATCTCTAGGTGACACCTCAATGAAATTATTAGCACTAGGTTACTTAATTTTCCAGTACTCAATCGTTATACTTCGGAAAGTGTTATGAGAATAAAGTAAGTAATGCAATCACTTTCACAAGCAAGTTGCATGTGTAAAATGAAACAGATTTTACACGTAAAGTAATTTGGATATACTTGGTTCAGAGCTTATTCAAAAATGCAGGTCACAACTCCTGTATATATATAATCCGTCTCCCTTCTTCCTGTTTTCATATCTCAAACACACACAAACATGGCGCGAACTTTTCTCTCTTTCTTGGTTATCTCTCTCACAATCTTTCAGCTTTCAACCATCGTTGAGTCTCGTTCTCGTGCAAGAATGTATGTTGAGTTACAGTGTCGATCTGCCATATATCCTGAACTGTGTGCTCAAACTCTTTTGCCTTACGTAGCTAAAACCGGACTACTAAGCCCTCAACTATTAGCTCAAATTTCATTAGCTTCATGTCTATCGAAAGCTCGGTATACCAAGATCTATCTGAACATGGTAGTAAAGAAACTGAACGAAACAAAGAATTCTGCAAACTACCTAGCTATAGACGACTGTGTTCATCAGATCAACGATGGAGTGAACCAAATTACGCAATCCTATAAGGAGTTAGAACAAATGGGAAAAGATGGAGATGAAAATTTTATGTGGCACGAGAGTAATGTGCTATCGTGGATCAGCGCTGCATTAACAGATGCCACCACATGCATTGAAGAAATCTTGGGGGATGGCATTATCAGTCGTAGGGAACAGGCTATGATCAGAGCAAGGTTCTTGAATGTGAAGCAACTCGCTAGCAATTCTCTTGCGATGTTCAATCGTTTCACAGTAAGATACCGTGCCTCTCGTGGCATCAAGAATCCGTAAGATGTTATTTCTAGATAGAAATGTAAGGATACCAAGTCGATCTTCTGTTATAAACTAGTTATACCAGATAAATTTAAAGCGTATATGTAGGCAGTGTAATTCGTTCATGAGTGTACTTATGTTTAATCGAAGTCTTCTTCTATGTTGAGGTATTTTAGATCTTTGTGCAAATGACAAATATTTCTCACAAAAATAAAAAACTTAAGAGGTTATGAGTTATTCACTTATCTGATATCAAAACTTCACCCCCATTTTGAACGCAAGGATTTGGGTTGTTATTTATTTACCCACGAATTACTATGGGGGAGTTCGGTATAGAGTCCTAAACGACTAACTCTTGAGAATTGAATCATGTTCATATTTGTGCCTATAAATTACATACCATTCCATTTGTCCATTTTGATTTGATCATCTCTTAGACATATATTATGGCGTTATGGTAGGTGAGAGAGTATCACTTTGTCAATTCAATAGAGATGGTCATTTAATTGTAAGGCTAACACTCAAAGTTGCATATATACTCTCTATATTGTTTTAGTAAAATACAATCTCATCGTCATTTTTAGACCCGTCAAAACATGATACGATGCGAAATAAACGGGTTTGAGTAAGTGATTTTGACACGTCTAAATACAATGGTTAACACGACACAACATGAAAATTAAACGAGTTGGGTTAGGATCAAAACTTTCAACTTGAATATGACCCGTTTAATTATATATAAAAAATTTATAAATTTTATATTTTTATTATTATATTATATATTGTAGACTTGTAATCGGCCAAACTAATGAATTAAAATTAAAATGAAAATTTGGAATGAGTCAAGCTGAATCGGATTAGGGGAAACCATAAGTATAAAAGTGTTTCAAGCTTTCAAAATGACTTAATTTAATCATTCTCACGACCTAACCTCTTTGCATTCCCAACTCTTACTCTCTTCATTTTTTTTCCTCTAAACTTAGGCCCGGTTTGCTAGATGTTTTTCCAGATCCCAACAGATCTTTTTGGCTGAATGGACTGGAAAGACCGTTTGATATGTATAAAAAATGGGTCTTTCCCAATAAGATACGTCTTTCCCAAAAAACCCTAAAGTCATATCTTTCTGGTTGAATAGGCTGGAAAGACAATTATGCCCCAAACCCCGTCTCTTTCTTTTTTGTATTTTTAATTTCTTTTAAATAATTTTTTTAATTTCTTTTTATTGGATTATTATATATTAATAAATATTATTTTTTAATATATAATATTTATGTTTTTAATTAATATTATTTTATTAGATTATTTTTTTTAAATAATTCTTTTTTTATTTCCTTTTTATGGATTAATTTTTTTTTGTTGGATTATTATATATTAATAAATATTATTTATAACTATATAATATTTATATATTAATAAATATTAATTTATTGGATTATTAATTTCTTTTAGTTAATTTTTTAATTCATTATTAATGGATTAATTTTTTTTTGGACAACAACACGAACATCCTAATATATTTTAAAAAATTCTATCCATCCCAACACTGTTGGAGATAAACCGAGTCAAGAATCACATGTTGAGTTATAAAAAAAACTAAAATGACTAGAAAGAATAACAACGTAACATCAACTTGAAAAACAATAAACTAAAAAAACTTAATCGACGTTCTATTTGGATTTTTAAATGATTATTGTGTAATTTTGATTTTGTATGACAATTTTTATGTTTTTATAATTAAACTTCATCCATCACAGTATAGAATAGCAGGGTAATATTGTCATTTTTCATAATTCAGCACAATCAATCAGATGTACAATCAAACAACATGGTTTCTTTCCCAGTCAGAAAACTTTCTCATACAGCACTTTCCCAGACAATACTTTCCTGGACAGAAACTTTCAAACGAGACCTTACTCTGAATTTTTTCATTCCACCTTCCAACTTTAGTGTTTCATTTTTTCCTTTTCGCCTCCACGTCTCCTACTTTCCTACAGGTAAAATGTTTCAAGAGGACATGTCACAACATGTTGGAAATTTTAATGGAATAAGCAAGTTGACTAGTTTCCATTATCTCACGTTGGTGGTGGTGGGGGGGGGGGGGGGGGGAAGAAACATTTAGTGGGTTTATAAAGTTTTTCTTTTGATAAGCCTTCAAAGGTTTTAGTGGATCAAGGGATGGGCTAAGCCCACACACACGCGCCTAGCCTAGCATTAGCCAACACCGCGAGTGTGCGAAATGGCGTGAATTTGGCACACTTGGCACTTCTAGGTTCCGATCTATGAGGGCCTTTTGATGCCTTCTAGGGTTTCGAAACCTAAAAATACAGCTCCCTAGGAGCCGTATTTGACACACACGAAAATTAACAACTCATTCTCTCTTGGTGATTTCTTCAAGTTTATGAGTACTCACTTTGCGTTTATTGTTTTCCATGGTTGTTAGAAAAACGATAAGTCTGTATTAAATCCTGGGGATTTACTCTGTTGCTTACAACCGATAGAAGTGAAGTAAAAACTTTTAAGGATAGGAGTCCTATCCATGCAGTTTTACTTTCGATCAAGATCATCCGTCAACAGGTCGGTTTTACTTTATTGTTTCGCATTTAAATTCATCCAATAACATGACAGTCTGCTTATCTTTTCTTATAGGTATTAGGTCGTTTTTGGTCATTAAACTTTTCTGACTGTGCTATTTTGGTAATTGAACTTTAAGATTGGGAACCATTTATGAAGTCTCACATCAAAAGTTCTTCGTTAGTGTACCAGGATTGGAGGTAAATGGGGGTACACCTGAGTTGTTAAGGATTGGAGGTAAATGTGGGATTCTTGGAATTCTCATCTTTGCTCGTAGGAGCAGTGGTTGGAATGGTGTGTCAGGGAGTCACGGGTTAATTAAAGGCTTTTGGTGCATCTTATGGATTCAGTATTAGTGGGAAATTTGCGATTGATGTGTTTGGGTTCTTTTCCTGCATGGTTAATAGTGATCATACTCTCAGGAAAGGGATGGATTCAATGAATGGATAAATTTCAGTCAAGGATTATGGGTTTCCGGTCTCGGGAAGCATATTGATAGAGTTGATTAGGTGTTGTAGCCTTGAGAGTCCCCGACTTTTGTGGATCTCTCTCTAGATATTCGGTCTTAGCCAAGAGGTTGTGGAATATGTTGGCATTGTTTGTGCCTCTCTGAAGTAGTTATCTAGCTGAGGCTCGTGTTTCCGCCTTGTTTTCGGATGGAGGGCTAAACAGTAGAGAATGGTCAGGAGTCCTGAATCCCCAGAGGATTCAACAAGGCAAGTTAGGTTCGGAAGGGTTCCGTATGGTTCAGTTTGTGAGGGATATCGTATCATCTGCATTCCGAGATGGTTGTGCTTGCTTAAGAATCAGTTGAGTTAGTAGATGTCCGAATTGTGAGAAGGTGGTGATGGTTTCTCCAATAATGAAAGTTAGCAATTGAAAGATGGTATGGGTAGGCAGTCGCCTAAATGAGCCAACTTTTAGTTCAGATTGGGTCCTAGGGGAGGACCATCTGAGTGACCCGAGGTGGAGATGTGGAAACACTACCCTAGGTTAGTTACTGCAGCAGACTTTGAGGACGAAGTCTAATTCAAGTGGGGGAGAATTGTAACATCTGGTTTTGAAGCACTTCCATTGTTGATCCTTATATTGAGATGTATTGCATTTTTGGTCCCTAAGTTATGAAAGAATGGAAAAGGGGGCCCTTAGTGTCATTTTGGTAAGAGTTGAGAAGGGGCGAGTACGCCGTGCGTACGTGTGTGTACGCTTAGCGTACTAAGGCGTGCCTTACTATGCTGGGCGTACACTTCGTACGCGGGGAGTACGTAGGAAGCATGCAAACCCTAATTCTCGGGTTTTGGCTCATATTTAAGCATCTTTATGGACATAAACCCTATTCTTATCCAACCTCTTTCAGAGATTTCGACCCTGAAGCAACCCTAGAGCAAAAGGAAGCCATTTTGTGAGCCTTAAGAGAGTTTGGTGTGGTTTTGAAGAAAGTAGAAGTTGGTGTGAATACCTTGGAGTAGAGTGCATTGCAGATTTGGGGTTTCTAGCTTGTTTGCAACATCAAAAAGGTATAAAGCTTGCATCTTTTCCAGTCCATCTTGTAGATCTAGGTTTTTGCTCTTTAAAGTCTTTTTTTGGTCCCAAAATGATGATTTTGAACAAAGCATGTTCTTGACCCATTCAGCTGTCCTTTCAAATCCTTGGAAGGGTCTCGAGTCATAAAAATGGAATTCAAGTGGTTGATTTTGCTCCATGCATCATTTAATAGGCCTTAATGGGTTAAGAGGTGGAGTTAAGCTCTTAATGGCCATACAAAATCATAAAGTTGGGAACTTTATGACTCTTGACGGTATTTTATCCATGGATATGAGAAATGGTTGTGAGTGCTTAAGCCATTAAGCACTTATTGGTTTTTGAGTCTTCTAGGAGTATGCCCCGCGTACTCGGAGTACGCCCTGCATACAAGGCCAACCACCCCGATGGTGGTCAACGTGTGAGGTTGCGTGCATGCCCAGCGTACCTTCGGGGTACGCCCTATGTACGCACCGTAAGTTGATTCGGTCGAGCTAACTCGGTTGGGTTGGCTCACTTGACTTATGAACTTTGACCAAGTTTTACCTAAGGCTATTTTGGGATTTTAATTGTGAGTGGTCAGTTGGAGGGATAGGTGTCGATAGGAGCTGAGATTCGGAGTCGGGACCTTATCAGCTATTGATCAGATTGAGAGGTGAGTTTTCCTCACTGTACTTACGGGTCGAAGGCACCAAGGTCGGCCCATTGGATTAGATATCTTTCTATGTGATAGTTGTTGGAGAAGGTGTCTAAGTCTATAACTATATTTGGTATGTACTTGATCCGGCTTGGCATAGTCCATTTGGGTTGCATGGCATCGCAACAATTGGATAGACAAAACGAGAAAAGGACACTTACGATTTGTTAATATATTATAAGTTCTAATATATTAATATGAAATCATACTATTTAATTAGTATTGATCA